AAGGTCCCCTCTCAGCCTTCTCTTCTCCAGGCTGAACAAGCCCAGCTCCCTCAGCCTCTCCTCGTAGGAGAGATGCTCCATTCCCCTCCTCATCCTCGCAGCCCTCCGCTGGACTCTCTCCAGGGAGATACGCAATCCCACGTATTTACAAAGCACGAGGCCAGAGTCCCGTTTCCCTGGGCAAAGTGGTTCCCACCTGCACCCCCGGCTGCCCACCCTCCCTGGGGATACGGGGAGCATCACCCAGCTTGCAAAGCATGGCGCTGGTGGTGGAGGTGATGCTGAGCCCACCCTGCCCCGTGCAACAGAGCCTTTCGTGTCCTCTTCCTGCACCGCAGTCCAAACTGCTTTCAACGTATTTATGGCAAGAGCCTGATCTAACCACTGGCTTAGGGCACGAGGGTGCAACTGGAGTCACTCGGGCAGAGGAAGCGCGTTGGAGGATCTCCAGTTCCCCCAGTGTGAGGGAGAGGCCAGTCCATGACCCCCCATGCACAGATCATCCCTGATGCCGCTGCGGTTTGCGCAGGGACGGAGCAAACCCAGCCCCGCTCCCCGACCCGGCTCGGCGCTGACCCCTTTCCCCGTCCCTCTGCTCCTGGATGATGCTTGCAGCAAAACATGGCTGCGTAACTCCCTGCAGAGAGGTTAGCTGGCTTCAAATCACAACCCCGACCCGGCTCGGCACTGACCCCTTTCCCCGTCCCTCTGCTCCTGGATGATGCTTGCAGCAAAACATGGCTGCGTAACTCCCTGCAGAGAGGTTAGCTGGCTTCAAATCACAAAATCACAGAATAATTTGGGTTGGAAGGCACCTTTAGAGGTCATCTAGCCCAACCCCCTGCCATAAGCAGGGACATCTTCACCTGGATCAGGATGCTCAGAGCCCCGTCCCACCTGGGCTTCAATGTTTCCAGCGATGGGACATCCACAGCTTCTCTGGGCAACCCATGCCAGGGTTTCACCACCCTCATCGTAAAACATTTCTTCCTTACATCCAGCCTACATCTCCCCTCTTTTGGTTTAAA